TGGCGCCGTATACCAATTGCGTAGTCCGATTCTCATCATATCATTAACAGGATGTTCTGGTACAGACTCGATTATTTCTATATTTCAGCTATATGACGGCGGTCTGTAAATAATCAAGTCTGTGCCAGATAACCAAGAGATTGATATCACGAGCATCGATCTACGCAATTGGGATACGATGACATGCATCAAACAAGTCAGTGAGTCTGACCACCAGATCCCGTTAGTTACGACAAGCACGACAAGCTTGAATTGATAAAGAGCTATTCCCGGATCTTTACGAGCCGACAATACAATGCAACTCACATGTTCACTTTAGGGTCCAGTTTAGTCGAATTAGATTTGAGCCGTCATTAGATATGATGTTGGAATTCCTCAGTATATTCCTCTTCCCCAGATAAGGGATTTGAGCTCACTGTTTTAACCCTTGCCGAACTAAGCTGGAATTGCTGGGCTCGATCGTAGCGTCAACAGTGGCCATTGCGAGTTATGTCACTTCTGTGTCTCCCCTACTATCCAATCAGATTCTACCTCTCGTAACACTTGCATTTGCTTCAAATAAATTGGTAGCGACCAGTCATCTCATCGTTAATAAAGATCCTTATAGTTATAAAACTGGTTTTGCCTCGCGAACTGCATCAAATCACTCGCGCACCTTGATTACAAACATGAAAAGATTTGGAAAATATGTGTCGACGCCCAGTTGACGGTACACATGCTCTGAAAATCCTGTAATCGAACGAATTCAGCATGGCAGTTGCCATGTTGATTATGAACCGGATGTCGATTTCATTACGGAATTTTGATTGGACTATGCATAGACTCGTTAGTCCAGCTAAATATAACTCCATAATTCGAGCCTAGTTCCACAAGGGTGGGAAACTGGACCTTAATTGACTTTGCCCTTGCCCTTGCCCTTGCCTTTGCCTCGGGAAGATGGTCAATATATCTCTTCATTCAGGATCAATAAGAACTGATTGAATTAATGGCGTACATTGCACGAAAAAGAAATACACGTTTCTGATAGGGTGGAAAAACAAGTGAGAGGCACGGCGCAATTTTGAACGATGGCGGCAGCCTATATTGAATGTGTGAAGTGGGCATTACGCCGCTTTGAACACCATGTTAGCTTTATCACATCTACATGACTTATTTGAGAGGCATTAAGAAATTGGAGTCTGTTCTGTTTGTTGTTTAACGCCGCACTCAGTAATATTCCAGGTATATGACGGCGGTCTGTAAATAATCAAGTCAGCAATGACAAACATAAGATCAATTCGGATGGGGAAGATCAATTCTAACCCTGATCATTATTAATCAAATCAGTATTTATCAAAATATCGTCCTCATATGGTCAAGTGATCTGCCAGATAGCTATTTCTGCTTTCAGTAGAGATTTCTTATGGTTATAGAAATCTTTCTTGAAAACTGTATTTATTCTGATGGCAATTGAAAATTAATTTAAACAGGCATGTACATATTCACATAAAACACATAGACACATGACCCTAAATCGCACCTTCAGAAGCTTATTGTCGGTTGCTAAATGAACATGTACTGTCGATTGTGCTTTATTGTTTACCATTCTATTGTAAAATATGTCCTAATATAAGTAAGTATTTTTACAAATCACTGTTAAAAGGTATTGAGCATTCAAAAAAGTTGGTATTACTTATGTTTCAACGCCTGCCATTATCAGCTTCTTCTTTATCTGAACTTCACAGTTTCTCGTTCGTCAGGGACAGTGACTATATTCAGAACCAAATAACACATATATTACGATAATGTTTCTTGTCTGGTGTTCAAAGTAGAACATATAGCAAACCTGACTGCGTAATCTACTGTGTCTTAATAGATTGCAACAAGAATGGACGCTATTAGGAATTTACATCGTCAACATTTGTTTGACTGTTAGATGGGTCAAATCAATCCATGTTTCCCAAATTTGCATAAATAAGGAACCTCTTTATAATTAGAATAAACTTCCGAAGGAAAAACCTTTTTTGATTGAAACAATGTGCGATGCCAACACTCACTATACATGGAATTCGAATCAGCAGTGTATCATGTTGAAAATGCAGACACCTAAATGTCAAGCACATCTTGTTAACTATGAGCGTCCACTGGGGAAATCGTTCTATATGTAAAAGCTGTAAATATACCCTGACAACAAGACAACAACGCTATGCGAGTTTGGTACAATTATGTTGCATACAAGACATTCACTGATAAGAGCAAGGATACAGCACTTTGAGCTGATACCAATATCCCAATATTCTCTACATGAATTCAATGTGCATATACTCATGTAATTGTTTCTTATTACGCCAAGGAGTAATAACTACTATATAACTATATTTGATCGATGACTTGATGACATTCAGCTGATTACTCACGCGTTATTTACTGCATGTATGTCTGTTTTGCGTCAACAATTTTATTTATAATGGAAAGGAATATCTGTGAGGTAACTGGGGACACTATTTTGACTATCTATTCAGTATCATCTCTTTCATCTGCATTTAGAAACAACTAAAAAAGTCGTTACTAGTTATGACTGACTACAGTCAAACGGGTTTCTCTTATTAGTGAGTGAGTATGGTTTTACGCCGCTTTTAGCGATATCCCAGCAATATCAAGGCGGGGGACACCAGTAATGGGCTTCACACATTGTACCTATTTCGGGAATCAAACCGGCCGGGGCTTCGGCGTGACGGGCGAACGCTTTAACCACTAGGCTACCCGACCGCCCCCTTTCTCTGATTAAAATCTGTTTTAACTGTAACATCTTCAAAGTAAAACATCATCTTTTTTCTTGTACCGGTAAACTAAAGATGTCATTGTATAATATTTTTCTACGTTTCAGATTCCTTGTTCAGTGTTAAAGTCTTAAAGAGTTCGGACTGCTAAATGTAAATAAAAGAATCCCCCTCGTGTACCATTGAAAAGAATTTCCCCTGAACAGTTTCAAACAAGTGATTTATACACTGGAGTAGGTATGCCAGCCTCCAAATGTGGTTAAATTTCGAAACGTCAATAATAATCGGTAGTAGTAGTAGTAGTAGTAGCAGCAGCAGCAGCAGCAGCAGCAGCAGCAGTAGTAGTAGTAGTAGTAGTAGTAGTAGTAGTAGTAGTAGTAGTAGTAGTAGTAGAAGCAGCAGCAGCAGCAGAAGAAGAAGCAGTAGTAGAAGTAGTAATAGTAATTGTAGCAGCAACACCAACATTAGTATAGTAATAGTAGTATGTTGGCATTTTTCAATGAGGACTGATGTCTTTGAAACTAACGCATTTAAATTCACTGTTCACTGTTCACTGATATGCATGTAGGTAGGAAGCATAGGCAAATCTTATTTGCCTGGTTTATCTTTTTTACGAAATGCCGATTGGGTGTCATTTCTTCAATACTTTGACTGTGAATACTGTGCGTTATCATATGTTTTAAAACCTTCATTTCTTATTATACAGATTGAAGATCGACACATGAAATTTTTCATTAAACATTCACCCATAGTGAGAATTGTTTCAGGCCGCCTTTATCAATATTCAATTGATATCATGGCGGAGGACACCAAAATTAGGATTCATACGTTGTACCCACCGTGTGGGGAGTCGAACGCGGGTCTCCGTCTTGAAGAGATAACGCTTTAACCACAATGCTACCTTTGTGTTGGCCCCCAGGAACCAGGGTGCCGTCAGGGTACGATAACACGCTATCAATAAATTCACCGAGCCTGACCACCCCATCAAAGTGATTCCACGAGGTAGGTATACTCTAGTCTATGTAACTCCTAGGCAGATATCTGATTTTATGTTGTAAAGATTACATATTTCGGATGTCATCACATGTTTCTGAGCATATCAGATGTTAACTGGAATGACGTGTATGTACTCGTATACACATCAGGTGTCTACTAGATTGGCGTCTGTATAATCAGCAAGTTTTTATTTACTCAGCAAGAACCATGACGCATGTGTATAAGTATTCTATGTTTAGAATAATGACATGTGTGTATACATACCATATATTTGTTAAAATGACATGTATGTATGCATATATTTGATAACATATTTACAAGAATAAGGTGGGTGTGTTTATATATCACATTTACCAGAATGATGTGGGTGTATACATATCACAAATTTACAATAAATGGGCGTATATATGTCACATCTAGAAGAATGATTTGGGTGTATATATATGGCATATGTACAAGAATGGTGTAGGTTTATATATCACTCACAAGAATTATATGGGTTCATATATATCACATATTTACAAATAATGTGGTGCGTATATCACACATTTACAAGAATAATGTGGGTGTATATATATCTCATACTGACAAGAATTATGTCGGTGCATATATCACATATTTACAAATAATGTTGGTGTATATTTACTACATACTTACAAGAATAAAATGGGTGTATACATGTCACATATTTACAAAAGGTGAGGTGAGGTGAAATGGGGTTTAACGTCGCGTCCAAGATTATTGCACTTATATAGCGACGTGCATGTAAGTATGTGTGTTTGTGTGGCTGCTTGTACTAGTCCGGACTGATGCCGATTTATGGTGCTAGCTCACTGAGATACCATGCCGCAGTTTAACATGAATACCCCACTCAGACACAGTATACTGACTCCGAGCCGACCAGTCCGTGTTTTAGCTCCTAAATGCCGAGCGCCAGACAGGGTAACAACAAGTACCATCTTTTAACGTCTTTTGGTATGACGCGGTCGGGGATATTTACAAGAAGTAGAAAGGGTAGTAGATGGGGTAATTGTACATTTTCTGTTTTCAGTTGCAGGAGGAAGGATTGACGTGTACATGAACAAGTTATAATAAACATAGTGGATAGTGTTTTAACTGCAGAAAGCGAGTATCGTGACGGTCTGTAAATATTCAAGTCTGGACTAGACTAACTAGTGGTTGACACTAAATCTGGTCTTATAATTCCTAAAAAGATGGCATGAATATTAACACACAATTCTTGAATGTGTGTTGTGATATGGTTTTACTTGATATTGTATATATTGTATATTGCATATACCAGCTACATCAGGCGCAGTGGGCATGCGCATCGAGATTGTCATAGACCCCGTTGGGAAGTCGTGGCAGAAGGTCGTATGCAGCTTCTTCTTCGTAATATCTAAACACCTGCAAACTGAATTAATACGTTACGTATATTCAAACAGAAAACATACATGCCATGGCTATGTCATGGATTTACGTTGCTGTCAGGATTACTGAAGACATGAAGGTGACTGCCATTATAAGTCTAATGTGAATAGATGTTTACACTCACATTGACGTTCTTGAGAGCTAAACGGAAGGGTTTACTTCACGCTTGAATCTTAAGGGGAAATGAAAAAGGAGGTTACTTCACGGAACTTTAACAGTCTGTGATAACAGCTGTATTCCTATACGTTGTGTTTTTAACTGTATCGTTTGCAGTTTCGTTACCTAATAATACAACTAGAAAATGACTATACGTTCGTGTATTTACGAAGTCATTTACTTACGTGCTCCATTTCATGCCTCGAATGTTGTACACGTAGTAGCTATTGGCACCCATGGTGTCCGTCAGACGCACATAAAGAGAGAACGTTTTGGGGTTGTAGCCGTCGAGAACCAAAAACTCTCCCTGTGACTGGTTGAAACTTGGGTAGAACTGGACAACACAAGGTGAAGAATATATTGATATTCATGTGTTACTTGAGATAAGCATAAGCATACTACACATTTACTCACACACATCCACATATCATATATGTATACTTAATACATGGTTCCTAATCAGAACTAACTTATCAGCTTTCGCCATTAAGTTACGGTTAAAATTTATGGATGAACAACTTCTTTATTACAAGTTGTTCATCCATAAATCTCACCCTTACGTTATACTTCTAAATGCCTATCAAAGAAGCTATCGCCATGTTTGCATTTTTCCTCACCCTGTCATATTCTCTGGTTGACTTTGTTGTTATGTCTTCCAAGGTTTCTACAAACCTGACAAAACACAAACCTATATCTAGGAGTCACTAACTTTTTTATTTACCCTCGTAAAACTGAAATACTTTCAAATCAGCGTTAAACCCAACTCATGATCAATAACTCTTTTAAGAGTAATTACATGGTTAACTTATATATTATGTATCAGCTGCACTTACACTCCAAGACCGGCCATTGTTGTCAGACTGTCCACACTTAAAAACTCCAGTGGTCTGCTGGAAACACCCATACGCCAAGGCTCCTGCTTTCACAAAGCTGCACTTAGGACCTAGGGGATTTGACTTGTAATGGTCTGTGATAAACCGTTGCACTCCCCTGAATTTTGGCACTGTCTTTGGATCCTCTCCCGTGTACTCCAACATCCCCCAACTTCCGTACTTGGAGGGTGTACTTGTGTAGGAGAAGTAATTAAATAGACCTCCTGATAAATTAAATTTAAAGAGTCAGATCCAAGTGTATTTTAGAAAGTGTTGAGGGATTTCTTGTATCAGCGATATCATATTAAAATACTAATAATGTATTCACAGCTTGCCCGTATCTTTACAACACGTTTACATCCAATGTATAGTATTATTCTGTGTAATTATGGATGCATAGAGCTGTTACAATGCACCTCTAAAATATATAATGGTCATATGTGTTACCAGGTGATTTGTTGGACGGATCCTGTGTAACGAGTTTGAACCATGTGTCCATGATGTCAATGATAGGTTGTTCCATGTGGCTGTCTTTGTTGAAGGCAATGGCCTTGTCGGTCACTGCCTGTGTGTGCTGACCGAAGTGAGCTATGGCACCACTCTCCATCACTCCTGGTCCTCCCTCGTACATTACCAGCTGCAGGCCGTGACTCTGACAACAGATGCACCAGTCAGTGGACATGGTGTATAACTGGCAAAATGCAAAAGTCACTGAATCAAGTATGGGAGAGGGTGATACTGGCATACTGCGCCAGATAACATATCTACTTGTAGGGATGTAGCTCTTATATTGTCGTCATTCATTTTCTTCTCAGTAACAAAATTGAGCAAAACATCTGTTGTGGAAGGTTTCTATTGCTTATTCGAATAAATCTGCCATGTTTGGAATACCTTTTTAAATTGTGTTAGTCAGGTAGTGATGTGTTTGCTTGCATGTGATTGTATGGTTCACCTTGGACATGTTTAAGTAGTAATGGAGATAATCTTCCATGTCTGGGACATCTTTCTTGCACAGATCCTGAATCTGAGACATAGACATGGACACGATCTCCTTTGCCTGAAACACAATACAACACGACTACAAAACTGTCAGACATCAAGGGCATTGGGTAGACTGAACGACAGACATCCTAAAGAATTTATCAAACCATGGTTTGCTTTGATTCACCTCAACTGGAAGCTAAGCAGATGATCGCATAATACAAAACTTTGAATAGAAAGTCTAATTAATTGTTTCTCCGTCAAATTGTCTTTATAATAACGACTATCAAATACGCCCTGCTGAGATAAAATGATTCATTCAGGGTGTAGGGATTATTCCAGCATCTAATGTCAATACTGCTATCAGTGTTTTAATTGTACTGAAAGTGTAGCTTTATGTTTATAATACACTGTTCCATGGCACAATATGCGATTTCGAGTTGCTGTCACGTTTATTTTTCAATTGCTTTATCAAACTTGGCACCTACGTGTTTGTCGGCAGCCTGATCGCAGTTGAAGTAGCCCGTGAGAGCAAGGGCCTTGAACTTTTTTATCTTATCTCCCAGGGCCGCCACCGCCTGTCTGTAATAGTCCTTGTACCCTGTCTGCCATGCAAAAATAGGGTACAGCTTGTCCTTGTCAGATCCGAACACCTGAAATTACATCACAATTATATACCTGGAAACAATTAGGCAACGCTTCACGTATTTTCATGTATCATTTGAAATATCTATAGACATGTGTGACATTGGGCATATTTTGATCTGAGGATCCACTGATACCTGCAACACTGTGTTGGTAATTTCACGTTGTTAACAAAGCAAATTAACCACATTAGGTTTTCGTGTTCATATCCAAATGTTGTTGCACGTAAATTAGATATATCATGTGTGATAAAACTAGGCCCAGGCCCAAACTGACCAAATTTCTGAACGTCAAAGTATTGAGAGAAAATTACTTCCTGCATTGTTGTAGAATGTTTTCTGCGGCCAGCCAGAACTTAATTTACAACGGACACTACCGTATGGGAATGACATACTCGACCGATTTTTGCACAGCTGATGTTATTTATAGTTATTAAAATACACAACAAGTTTCGCTGCGAATACGAATATATCATTAGAACTCTTTGTGTTTCTTATGTTTTTGTTGTTACGTCACAGGTAGAAACACCCCAGCTATATCACAGCGGCCGGTAAATAGGTTTGAGCCAGACAAACCGGTGGTTGATATTATGAGCAAAGTCCCACGTCATCAGGGCAAGGTGACACCCAAACAATCAAGTCACTGAGTCTGTCCACTCATCTTATTAAGTCGCCTCTACTTACACAATAGAATACTGGCGATCTCTAACCCAGGTCCTCGCGAGGGTTATAAATAAGGGAAGGACTCATAAGACCTACCTGATTCCAGATGTCAACAATCTCAGCTGATCTTCTGCCATAGTAAATCTGTCCTGCCTTCCACTGCTGAGAGTCAAGATTCAGCTTGAGACCCTGCTCGCGTGAGTATTTAGTCTGTCGGAATATACCGTTCCATACCTCGTTGGAGTATTCCAGGTACACCTACAAACATCCACACCATCATACTATCAGTAAAAAAAGTCTAGTAATTCAGAAGTTTTTGCATTCGAAATGCATCAATCACATTAGAAGACTTCATATAATTTGCCTATAGTTGTATCAATGTTAGGTTACATGTTAAATTTCCTGATTTCTGTGTCATTCAAACTGTATACATTAATTTACTACATTAAATGGCTTCCAGAAATCCATGAATGTTATTCAGTTCATATTTTATATACATGTATCAACTCATTCTTAAATAGTTCAAACCTATTTTGGATTGCAGTCGTGGTTTCGACCCTATTGTTGCATGTCAATACCAAAACTGAAAATCCAGTTCTGAACACCTTGATACGAGTAAATGACATGGGTCACCTTCAGGTCAGGCCTCAGTGTCTGCTTCACCAGCTGAGCAAAGTTTTTGACGTAGTCATCAGTTGCAGCATGAGGAATGTTGAACCAAGGATTTGCTCCCAGTGTATTGGCTAGCTGTATCATGTACTCGATGGCCCCGCCACGTGACCCCTCTTGGGTGTAAGAATCAGGGGTATTACGGTCAGCCCATGTTGTTGGCTCTGGCTGCAGATGATATCACATAGAAGTTTGTTAAAAGAATAGAAAGATGTTTCGGTTCCTAATATGCCAGTGTTCAGTCATTCGTGTGAGTGTGTATGGCTTTACACCGCTTTTAGCAATATTCCAGGAATATCACGCTAGGGGACACCAGAAATGGGCTTCACACATTGTACCAATGTGAGGCATCGAACCCGGGCCCCTGGCGTGAGGAGCTAACATTATAACCACTAGTCTACCCCAACCGCCCTCAGCGGAGCGCAAACTAAAGCCTAGATATGTTGGGGTTTCTAAAATGTTATTTTAGGTTGGGGTTGAGGCGATGTAATGCCGATGTTAACAGTATTCTCGCCAGCAGCAAAATTAATAAAATTAATCATATCCAGTATGCAATGACCAGACATGTGTCATGATCTTTCCCTCAGAAGGCACGTCTAGGACATGATCGGGAGACCTTACGCCGACGTCAAGGGCCACCTTTCGTGTTAACTTGGCCGGGCGTGGCACGACTCCCTCATGTTGTCATTGGGAGATTGACTCGAGCCATGCGGCTAAGTATAAACGAATGTTTGACCAATCGTGGGAATGAGGGTGACAGATTATGGATCAAGTCATCTTAAACGTTCATTTCCATGTTTCTTTTCCCTTACAATACACCGCCAACACGTTCTGTCGATTATCATGTCACACACATTCCTTCCTATTTTATCCACCCATTACCATCACTCGATACCAACAGATATTTCTGTTATCATCTGGTATGTTCGAGTAATCCCTACTGTTTTGGAGAGTATATTAATCTAATTAGAATGTACGAAACGGAAACATCTCGTAGTCACCATGCCACAGCTGACGAAAACGACCCTTGTGTGTCTGTGATCACTTGAGTGTATCCTTACACCCAAACAGAACATTGATGTATTCATCGCCCATCCTCAATATCCATATCCTGATTAGACTATAATATTGAATGGAAGTCACCTTATGACCGTTGGTAGACAAGAAGTCCATGAAACGGAGTTCGGAGTATCGTTTGAGATTTTCTAAGAAGGCTGGGTGAAATGGGAACCGATCGTACACATTCTCGTAGCCTGGGATAAGAACTCGGATGTTCCTTAATGGATTCTTCGGATTCGTCTTATGGATCGTCAGGGTGAAGCCCCCTGAACCAATCTTTGGCATTCTAACAACCATGCGACCTTGAATAAAGAACAGTTCAAGAAACGTATTTAGATTCTGAAACATGTAATTCACTCAAGGGTTATTTTTAACGTAGTTACGAATTCTTTAACTTCAATAAAATAATATGAAGTATATCTCACAGCTGTGTATAATGTAAAGATACTTGAATTGCATATGCTGTTTATCACGTTTTGTTAAATCATCCAGTGCTACCTTTTCCATCATAAAGAATGTGTTCTTCAGTAAGTCCAAAGTCTATAATCCCCTCGCCATCATACAGTGCAGTAAAATTCCCCATCTCTTCATGTGGTCCAAAACCTCTGAACATTAACTGCAGAAGTTTCTGTCCAGCTGGAAACAAATAAATTGATATGAAATTGGAGAAAGTTAGCAAATTGTATAAGTATCAATTACGTAGTCATATAATAATTTCATACTTTGAAGTTTACACTGTTTCTTTCATGCTGATTGGCTGAACTTTTGCCGGAACTACTTTCCTGGGTTTCCCCGAATTCTCGATCGGTGTTTACAATCAACTCGTTTTTCTATTTTCTTTTTCAAGCCCTACATTTATCAGCAATGTAATTAATTAAGTATTTTTGCCTGGTCGTGTAACATGTCATCTGACTTATAAATAAATACATTTCTGGTGTTTGATGTCTTCTAGCTACAAAATGGATTGTCCTTACGGTGATTTGGATATGGAGTGGTTATCTTTCAACACTAATAACGCAGGTAAAGAAAAATAATTCTGTAAAATTACAGAGGTGAACGAAATTGATTAATTGAGCGATATTGACCTTGATGCCTTGTTTTCGGAAATGTCGGGAATCTAGCAACAATGAAAACAATGTCGTACCCTGCCGTCAATCGCAAACTAAAACCCGATTCACTATCGTATCGGGAAAAAATCTAAGATTTTGAGAAACCATAAAACATATAAAAAGGTAAGGAAAGAAACTTAAATTAAAACAGAAAAAAAACAACCTTGCCTACCTGTTTTACCGATTGGTCATCGGAGACGAGAAAATATCCGTAGACGGATTTATAAATCTACTATTCCGGTTTCTGAGTTGGCCGACCTTCTCCATGCATTCTAGGCCGAGAAGCGGCGGCACATGAGGAGTGACGGGGCACAGAATTGAAGCTGGCATCGGGTCATACAGTTGGTCCATCTTAGGTGACAAGAAACACCAGCTAAGCAAGGTATTACAGCACACGCGACAAATCCCAAACTCCAAATATAACACACCCTGACGTTGAAAATTAACACAAAAACACACAAGTTTCAGAGCACTCGGTTCAATCCCCACCAGTCCATTCCGCATCGCCCGAATTGGTTTGCGATTATCCAAACACAAGCAACACATTCATAAATCGGTGATATTCCCAATTTGCTAGTGCCATGAGAGTGTTCACACGTTTGGGTGTTTTCCATAACTGCTTCATAAACGTCATTTTCAACAACAGTATGTATAAATTTCTTCCTCACGTTCGACTCGAAATGCACCTCTTTACAAACTTATGTGACGTTATATATAATCCGCGCTTGAAGGTTGACCTCACCTCGGCGCATGGAGGTCATGTTTATATTTTTGTTCACCTTCCTGTAACCTATTTTTAAAATTTGATTTATCCAAAATATTTTGTTTGTCAATTTTTTTCAGAGAATGAAATTATGTTGACATATTTCCAGATTATGTTGTATATATTCAAAGAACTATTTTTCTTTGCGTAACTGAGTATGAGTGGGGAAACGTATGTGACCGAGAGCCAACAAATACCGACGAAATAACATTGTTGCAATGTTCTTCGGTGAAACCAGAGGACTTCAAATTTAAGCAAACATTGTTACGATATCATTTGGCGAGACCAGTAAACTACAAAGTATGAAATTATAAGAATTGAACGTCAGTTTGGATGGGTTCATTGAAGTGTGAACGATTTAAAGCGCTGGTTAAACTTTCGTGTGAACCTCTTCGCAAGCTCGGAGGTTCACACAGTTTAACCAGCGCTTTAAATCGTTCAATCGTTCACACTTCAATGAACCCATCCAAACTGACGTTCAATTCTTAAATGAACATATAGTTATACGTCAACCTTTTCCCATGTGATTTAAACGCGTGGACTAGTGTTATCACAACGTTCATTCAAGCCTGCATGTGCAAGACACAACCTGTTCAACGTACGTTCAAGACTAGCTGGGTAGCCATCTGCCCTCAAGTGTAGCGTGTCCTGTTCATTAGTGTTCCAATCATGTCGTCCATCTCTCTCCGTGACCCACTGCTGGGACAGCTTGTGGACGTCCACGAACTTCACCTCAGAGGAGTAGTAGCTGATTCCACCCAAGTTCATGCCTACCGCCACATCCTTGTTCATCATTCTGGAGGACAAACGACGGAAACAAAGAAATATCAACCACCAACGTTCAAATTTACTGCTTCATTTTTGCACGGGAATTGTTTTTGCACGTCATTATGAACAAGAGATACATGTACGCATTAACGACCTACGTTCATGTCCACCAGTGCATGCTTGTTCGTAAATCTGGCCCTCAAACGACAGTAATTGTATAAACAATAGGCACTTTGCAGCCATCAACATACATGTTACGACATGTTCATCAAGTAGGTTAGTATGTCAAACAGACCCTGAAACAAATCTATCAAATATAGCCCATGTAAGCAAGTAAGTAATATAGATGGCAAATCTAGATAACTACAGTCTGAACATGAAGAAAGTCAATGTAGACACTATACTCTTTTTCATTATATGTTTTTAAAGGTAATTTTAAAGGTAATTTAACCCCAAAAATTTACCGTTGTGTCCGGACTTCCTTTTGTCTCTCATATGTTCCTTCTTCACGAAAAGTAACACGTTAATTTCATTATGTGCTGTTGTGTACTTACTTATGTTCATGTTCTTTACCAGGTATGTATAGTATGACTTTTGTCGGTTTTACTGCTGGTCAGATACAAACTTACATGCTAGAATCATACTGTGAGCAGTCAACTCCCTTGTATCCTTCCCAGCACACACACTGACCATTACGACAGGCGCCATATTTGCATTTCAGGGTACATCCACACTCCCCAGGGCCGATACAAGACTCGCCTTCAGTAGAGAAATGGTTTAGAAATTGTAACATCTTGATAATATTAATGTTTTTGTGCAATGTTTGTGGAACCATCGTTATTGTTTTGTTGTTTTTTCCTGTGTAAACGATTAAAGTTTCAGTGCTATCGAAATGGTTTCGTTTGAATGTGTAACCTGGAATAGGTCTGTGTTTTAATTGTTTCTACTTGTTGTATAAACACGTAAGGCTTTTTAATATACTAACCCGTTTCTACTCGAAGTAATGTGCTTACACTCTACAGATGAATCCTCGCTAAATCGAACATTCAGTATTCGATTCGGTAATAATCAAAACGACAGCTGAGATAAAGTGACATTAATAGTATCCGCCATGTTATATTTGTGTCGTCTTTCGATTAACCAGACATTTGTGTTAACCATGAATTATTCAAAGTATTAAGGGTTACGAAAGTGTACATATATGTATACTTCCCATAAGAGTACTTTTAAATGATGTCTTACTGGTGGCCTAAGTTATGTTGTCATTACATCACAGTCACGCAAGTTAGACATACTGACTGATACGTTAACATCAAATTCAAAACAGGAAATTAATTTAATGCTGTATCACAATAAAACATTTCAGATCAAGGAATATTTCACTGTACTCAAGAAAACTATTTACTGAAGTTTTGATCATGAGTAAAGTGCGAAGAGGATCTGTTTCAGAATTCCAGTTAGAATTCCCACACCACACAAAGACATGAGCGTGTATCACTAAATATACCAAATTTAAACATACCGTTCATACATTGGCAGTCCCACGCACATTTATGTTGAGTCGGGTTCCATTTCCATCCGTCGGCACAAAGGCAAGTTTGGTCTGTCAGTCATATATTAATGAACCGTTTCAACTGAAGTTGCTTAAATTATTATATTATTCTGTGTTATAGAGTGCGAGATACTTAAATCTGAAAACGTTTTGCAATCAACTTCGAACGAGGGTTGGCGATGTTAATATTTTGCACATGCGCCAAAACGAAGGGAATTAAACTTTAAAGTCACGTCGGAAATATTTCAGCCATACGGTGACTTGATCAAAATATACATTTTTACATATGTCGTGAAAGGAAACTACAATCACCAGTAATTATGTTTCACAGATTTACTTAAAACTAGATATATATCCAAATTATCAGATTTACCGTTTCGATAAACGCAAGGCATTTGTTATACTTCGGCATGAAAACAAAAGCAATCGACATCAAATAACGAAGCCAAAAGCAACATACTTTTTAACGTTTGTAATATACAAACTAAGTGTGATTTTAAACATTTTCTGTACAATTTTAAAACGAATATATAGGGCGTCATCAAACCAATTCTTCACTTGAAAATATTCAGCTTTCCGATTTTTGTGATAATATTTGAAATTGATATAAATGTTACATGTGTACCACTGGCACAGCGTCCATAGCCTTGACATCCACAATCACCACTGCAGTCGTTGCCGTAGAATCCCTGAAAACACTGACAGTTGTTTTTGATGCACCGTCCGTTCCAGTTACACTCGTTGTTACAGACAGCGGCGGCAACACTAGACATGTAGAAGAATCCGTAATACGACATTTATAAACTTAGTTGTGCTCAAGTGTTTAAGGTCACCCACTACAATTGGGATCTGGTCATCGTTTTATTATTGACTGGCCGTCGTAGTTCATTTTGTTGGTCACCGATCACCGATGTCTATGCTGGTCATCGCTACCCAAGCTATTTATTATCCACTGGTCTTGGTAGCTCATGACAGTATTCACCTATCATTGTAGCTTAGATATCAGATACTGACCACCACTGCTCAAGCTAAATATTTTTCACTGGTCTTGGTAGCTCATGACGGTATTCACCTATCATTGTAGCTTAAATATCAGATACTGGCCACCACTGCTCAAGCTATTTATTTTCCACTGGTCTTGGTAGCTCATGATAGCATTCGGGGCGGTCGGGTAGCCTAGTGGTTAAAGCGTTCGCTCGTCACGCCGAAGACCCGGATTCGATTCCCGACATCGGCTTCCGAAAACAGCTTATAACATGCTCTTTCATTTAGATAGTATCGGTAAGGTTACATGGGTATCGCATATTAGGACACTATTATTCTCACATGGATATGGGTATATATGGCTTAACCAATCTGTTGGTGATCAACATTTATTTCTAAATGATTTTCGTAAAATAGCAATAAATATGTTCTATCAAGGGTGGCAATGCAACTTGGAAAACAGTTCACGTTATGATTTGTACAGAACATTTAAGACTCTATTAGAGCCAGAAAAATTTCTATCAGTTTTAACAAATAGTCACCTAAGAAATGGATATATTAAATACAGACTTGGCTTGTCAAAACTTATGATTAACTATGGACGGAATATATCACTTGAAAGAATACAAAGAATTTGTCCATTCTGTAACTCTGCAATAGAAGACGAAATACATTTTACCTTTAAATGTCCTTATTATGCAGAATTACGTACTAAATATATACCAGAATGTTTCTTATCTAAGACGAGTAGAATAGCTTTTGTTTCTATTTTGTCATCGAATGATGCCGATGTAATCTTTAAACTGTCTTTATTTGTAAAACATGGGATGGAACTACGAAATAACATGTTGAGTGGAAATTCATAATTTTAATTACCTCACCCTAGAAAGTCCTCATGATTATCACCGATTGTTAAATGAATGTTATATTTATATAATTTTTGTTGTATCTCCCAATCTGTAAATTCTCACCCACTGTATTTATCTGAACTTGTATATGGGCCGATGGCCTTTGATACAATAAACATCTTTGACTTTGACTTTGACTTGACATGGGTACAATGTTATGAAGCACATTTCTGGTGTCCTCCGCTGTGATATTGCTGGAATATTGCTAAAAGCGGCGTAAAACCATACTCACTCACTCACTCACTCATGACAGTATTCACCTGTCATTGTAGCTAGGATATCAGATACTGACCACCACTGCTCAAGCTATATATTTTTCACTCGTCTTGGTAACTCATGGTAGTATTCACCTGTCATTGTAGCTAAGATATCAGATACTGACCACCACTGCTCAAGCAATTTATTATCCACTGGTCTTGGTAGCTCATGACAGTATTCACCTGTCATTGTAGCTCAGATATCAGATACTGGCCACCACTGCTCAAGCTATTTATTTTCCACTGGTCTTGGTAGCTCATGATAGTATTCACCTATCATTGTAGCTTAGATATCAGATACTGACCACCACTGCTCAAGCTATCTATTTTTCACTGGTAATGGTAGCTCATGACAGTATTCACCTGTCGTTGTAGCTTAGATAGCAGATACTGGCCACCACTGCTCAAGCTATTTATTTTCCACTTGTCTTGGTAGCTCATGATAGTATTCACCTAACATTGTAGCTTAAATATCAGATACTGGCCACCACTGCTCAAGCTATTTATTTTCCACTGGTCATCGCTGCCCATGATATTATTGACTGGTTTGTCGTTTTACAGTCTGGTGTGATCGAAATGCTGTGGCATTACAACTGACGCATCTTCACCCTTGGTTGGGAAAAGCTTATATCACGGCTATATCATGTAGTTCTGCGTAAACGCTGATTTCAAAGTACGAATTGATCACAGTTTTGTAAATGATAACTCAATGACATTTCCAGACTCATATCTTTGTTTGTGTAGTGTACAGTTCTCTGTTCAGTCCGATGTCTGTAGAGGTGAACTATTATGGCAGGAAATGGTATTAAACCTTAGTGTTTAGGGTTGTCTCTGAAACAACCAATTCAGTCACGGAAATCATTTAAAGCAAGTGAAAAGAGGTATGTTGTAAAGAAATAATACAAAGTAACCTTGTACGGGCATCAACAAACATCTTCGAAGTGTAAAACTTTCCGTCGGGGGGGGGGGGGGGGGGGGGGGGTGTCGGGGGGGGAGTAGTTAGGTTCACTTGCAAGTAACACCATTCTTTAGCACATGATGTCATTACACAATGTAGAATCTGTATGTTTATTATACTGTGTTTTCTTTTAATGGATGGGAAATACATGTAGATTTGGATTGGTTGGTTGGTTGGTTGGTTGTTTTACGCCGCACCAAGCAATATTACAGCTATATGACGGCAGTCTATAAATAATCGAGTCTGGACCAGACAATCCAGTGATTGATATCATGAGCATCGATCCACCCAATTGGGATCGATGACATGCTTCAACCAAGTCAGCGAGCCTGACCACGCGATCCCGTTAATCGCCTCTTACGGCAGATTTGGAGTATACAATGGTTAACATTCAGACTTCACATATGTTGATCGGAACATTTATGTCAGTAATGTGAAGGAGTCAGCTGGCCTTGTTTTGGATTAAAGACATGACAACAAGATAAGACATGTTTATTAAGATCTAATTTAAACAGTTTGTTTGGGATCGGTTCTGGACTAGTTTTTGACTTTGTCTTATTGGCCTATATATTTCGCCAATATTTTATTGTGAAATGACGTTTGAAATTTGGTAACTAATTATACCATATTTTACAAGTAAAACAGGACATATTAAGTTAAAACATAATATCACGTCTATCTGCCTCGCAATTGACCAGGTACGTTTGCATTTCACTTAACAGCAGGAAAAAGTTATAAGAACAGTACATTGTATGTATGCACAAGTATTTATCAATTAAAAGAGGCATGATATGAATCGTTAAATTATCATCAGTATCATCAATATCTTCGTCCTGCCGAGAAGTACAATAGTTGCATCTTACTGTGTACAGAACCATTGTAATATGTCGACATCCGCTATAGCATCGCCGTGCTGTTCGTCCGTTAAAACAAGTCAGGATGAGGCTGATCGTGGGTCTGAATCCCAGATTAACTCTTTATGATTACCTGTATGTCAGCACTTTTCGGTTTGACCACTTAGTCACTGTGACTTCGCATCCAAATTCAAGCTGATCGTCCACGATACAAATGACTGATTACTCACTGTAATATCGACATAACAATGCATGACATTGGGGGAACAGGCAATAATTTATGCAACCATATACGTACGTTGCCGTCACTGCAAATGTTGTTATGATTAAAATCCCATGCATTTTGGCTGCATCCTAGGAGATAATGAGCGAGAAGTCAGTTTCGTCTTAAATATATTACAGATATAGGTCAACTTAATCTGGCCTACCTAAATTTAACACAGGCCAACACAAATGTCGTTATAGCGTATGTGAGCACATCAGATGTTTATAAGAGTGACGCGTGTACTGTATGTGTATGGTTGTTTACTAGAATGAGGTTAAGGTACATGTATGCATACCAGCTGTTGTCTGGAATGATACTGTATGTATACGAATTATATATGATATAGTTTGAGAGTTTATGGAAATTGCATTCACTGGAAACCAGCGTTTTATACATATAAGTATCAGTAGATGTATGTTCAGAAATCCTGCACTATCAAAGAACTTGATATAATTGACATATCAAAAAGTGCCACAATTAAGGTCAGTACGTGAACTGAGGAAGAAAAAAACATGCATCAGTACTTTTGATTTAATTTTAAAACCCGAAAACATGTCTATTCCTCTTTTGTACTGGATTCCAAAGCTCCATAAACATTCGTACAAAGAGAGATATATTGCTTGGTCCTGCAAATGTACCACTGAATCCTAGTCTGAAAGATTAACCATAATCCTTATACAATCAAGGAATGACTTTGTGAGTAAATATTTAGACTACGCCTGGCCTTGTTCCAGATTAGAGACATGACAAAGCCTTATGATAAGATCAACGTTTCAAGAAGAGGCACAAACAAATGCTCGAATCCTCAAAGGGTTTCCTTGTACCAACTCCGTCAAAAGATATTCAGGACATCGCCGCTACGAAATTGGCGTGTTCCAGGGGTGTCCCTAATATTCATTAAGAACCAAGACCAAAACATGAGATGCATATGGCACACTAACTCCATGTAAACTTTGCAATAGTTTCTGTCAAAAACCTTACAAGACGTGATCTTTAATTGACAAATTCGGTGAAAAAAATGATCAAATGAAAATCCAATATGGCCGCATATAAAAAAGATATCCAAAAACGGCTGTAGGTTTAAATGAATCAAATTCATGAATCGAGACATGTGACAAAGACAGACCAGGCTCGAACACCTTTAAAAGGTAACTTTAACACTTGCAGAGTAGTACGGACTTTGCAGTTGCTTGAGGTACATCAACATCACTCTGTTTTCCCACTCTGTACCGAGCCTTCCCTGTCTTGTTTACAAAGTATATTTGGAATGATTGGCTGATAATTAGTAAATAGATGTGATGTGTCTTGTTAATTCTTGTATATGTGGGCCGATACATGAATGCTTATGGGGACAGTTCTGAGTAACCACCGATAGACTAATCACTCCTTGACCAGGCTAGTTGTCGAATCATGGCTTACAGTGACCACGACGACACGGAACGGTAATACGTTTAGGTAACTGTTGTAGGGTCCCTTTGAGGCCAAAACGCAGTTACGACAATATCATGTGACATTGACTTGATGAGGTTTTTAGTAGCCATCACTGAGTGTCAAGGTTTTTTAAATTGTCATTGGTAAGGTAGTATTTTTGTGTTCGGAGCCAACCCCCTACGTCGGCATGACACGTGTGTAAGCTAGCATTCATGAAGAAATAGTAATAGGTTGGCTGAAATGGGTGGTCATGACGGTTAAAATGTCTTATTATGGTAGCTGGATGCATAAGACGTTCTGTTTCAAGGTTGTTCAGTAACTTCATTACACATTGAACGCTGAAATGAAGTTCATGTATTTTTGTTATTGGTATTCCTAGGTGCATGGGACTGTTTTATATCTATCTTTGGTATTAGCTTTCCCAATTCGGTGGTATTGTCGTAAAACGGTAAGGGCACATAACTGTCTCTTTAAGGAAGGTAGCAGCATGGGACTTTAAACTTTATAGTCCCATTACATATGACATTATTGTCCCTTACCGGAAGGGATATTATTCAACCGGCAATGGGTATGACTTATTATTAAGGTAACAAGAGGAATATGACTCTGGTCTAAAATTGTACCGCATTGGTCATACGCTTTCCTGACCAGAAACGATGTCATTAGACTTGCAGTGATTTAAGTAGAGCGGAAATGCCCATTGGTTCCTTATTAGTTTACCAAGTGAGTGAGTGAGTGAGTGAGTATGGTTTTACGCCGCTTTTAGCAATATTCCAGCTATATCACGGCGGACACCAGAAATGGGCTTCACACATTGTACCCATGTCGGGAATCGAACCCGGGTCTTCGGCGTGACGAGCGAACGCTTTAACCACTAGGCTACCCGACCGCCCCTAGTTTACCAAGAGGCAAGGTTCAATAATGTAGTAAGAAGTTGTAGCAGGCATCTTTTTCAACAAAGAGAAGATAATCGAAGGTATTAAAATGGAAATACTGGGAGGAATGTAAAACATATGGAGCCCTTCTTGCTTATATGAGCACATGGGAAGTCTTTTACATCCACCTGGTAAAAGCTAAAGCAACAGATTAGTTTTTCAATAGTTAATCATGTTCTTTTCAACATCATCTGTTATGTTGTATGAGTTCCCCGATAATTCAAAGTAGGTGGCATTTGGGCACACCTGTGGTTGATATGTTTTTCAACTTCTCCTCGAAAGCTAGACATAATACTTTTATGTACGTACAAATGAAATAGGGTTCATTAAACAAATTCCATCAAATTTGATGCTTTATTGACGAACAAAAAAAATAATGTAACCGATTTGGAGTCACATCATCAATGTGCATGGTACATGAATGTACAGACATATATATTGCGTATAATATGGTTAGCGATGACAAGAGGTTGTTCACATATTTATGTTTTCAACAATTTCCTTAGCATTTACAAGATGAACAAAGTAAATAATGTAACTGATTTGGAGTCACATAATCAATGTGCGTGGTACATGAATGTACAGACATGTATAGTGCGTATAACATGGTTAGCGATGACAAGAGGTTGTTCACATATTTGTGCTTTCAACAATTTCCATAGCATATACATGTCAAGTCCATGAGGCATATTTGACCACGTCCATAAGAACAATAGTCACAACAAACCCTACGAGAATACATATACCCACCATACCAATACTGACGGCAGAGGGTCGGTAGTCAGGTATTGATATTTTGGATCTGCGATAGGAAGATAATACATTTCTTTCAAGAAGAAGGTGCTTCAACAAGGTCATCATGTCCAGCGTATACAGGCCTCTTACTTTGATGCAGACTTCATGACACATACCTGTGGACATATGATAAGTTAACACGATGTGAAGATGAAGGAAAAGACAAGGTAACAAAACCCTTTCTTGGCCCACTCGATCTGCATAGTTTAAGTAAAGAGAAACTCGTTCCGAATATTTATGTGGAAGTTGGCATACGCGTTCATATGAATGAATACCAGACTTTGTTATTATCACAACTTCCATTTTTGAGACAACACCAAGTATACGGGTACAGTTAAAATCTGTAAAACAGGCTCATGATAGATGTTTTGTTGTGTTTCTGTCTAATGTTTGAATGTGAACAAGAGGTTGAGTCAAGAACAGACATAGAACGGGGAATTCAACAGATTCAGACTCGGCACGTTTTACTTATTTCTTCGCACGGTTAATTTCTGTTCTTGATCATCTGCAACTTGCAAATGGTTGAAACTTTCAAACCTTCAATCTCATCACACCCCTTTATTTTTAAAAAGATATCCGATCCGGTCAAAACGTTAAATAACAAAATTAAAATTAATGCTCAAATTGCCCATAAGTAAACAATACCAATATTATGTCAAGCGCGTATTTAAAGACGATGATTATCTGCGAATATTTAACATTCAGGTCGGTAAGTGTTTGTACCTGTGACATGACAATGATGCATTGGTGACAGAACGAGCTCAATGACATCGACGTTGTCAGCACCAGGTGTTGTTATTGATCGTGACGTTGTCGGCGTGGTCACTGTTGTAGCATTAGTAGTGGTAGCAGCAATAGCAGTGGTAGTAGTTGGTGTAGTAGAAGCACCTGCAGCAACGACGGCAGTGACAACATCAGGGGTGGTTGTAAAGCCAGCAGTGGCGGTTGCGCCAGCAGTGGTGGTAGCGTTAGCGGTGGTAGTAGCGTTAGCAGTGGTAGTAGCAGCAGAAATGGTGGTAGCGCCAGCAGTGGTTGTAGCGCTAGCAGTGGTTGAAGCGCCAGAAGTGGTGGTAGCGCTTTCAGTGGTAGTAGCAGCAGAAATGATAGTAGTAGCAACATCGGTAGTAACCCCAGCAGTGGTAGTATCCACAGTGACAGTAGCAGCAGTTAAGAAAGTGGTAGTTGTTGTGGGAGCAATTGTTGTTGGAGCAGTTGGGGAAATAACAGCAGTCGTCACAGGAACAGTACTTGCCGCAGACGTAGTGGGAAACGTAGTTGAAATAGAAGCACTAGATGAGACGACAGTAGTCGTGCCGCTTGAGAGTGCAGATGTTTCGGTTGTAGATGCTACGGAAGGGGGCGGTGTTGCTGTCGATGATGACGTAGTAGTGTCAGCATCACAAGCGTCGATTGCAAATTCGTCTTTGTTTTCAGCTGCAGGAGGATGGGTGGAGTTGAAGTAACCTGAACGCATTGAAATTGGATTTCAAACATCAACATAGTAAACATATAATTGAGTGAGGGTGTGAATATCGTTTCACACTGATAAATATTGATGCGCTATTGATGCACGAGTAGCTAGCCTCGTTGTGGGACGAAGACATATAAAGACATTTGGATACTTGGACTGTTTACACATTCTCCACCGGATTCATCAAGAGGAAAACGTATTTTCAAATTGCTTACGTTTTCTATCTTGAAAGGTAACAGATCACACATTGCTGACTGCGACACTGACTCAGCTGCTGGATATGCAGTTTCACTTAACGGAATGGAAGGGTCTTCAGCAACCCATGCTTGCTGTAAGAGGCGACTAACGGCATCAGGTGGTCAGGATCGCTGACTGTTTTGATGAATGTAATCGTATCCCAATTGCCTGGATCGATGCTCATGATGTTAATCACTGGATTATCTGGTCCAGGGTCGATTATTTACAGACCGTTGTCATATAGCGTGAATATTGCTGAGTGCGGCATTAGACAACAGACAAACAAACAAATAGTACGCCCCCGCCACACACACTTCGCCTCAAGATTAGGGAAATTATACTGATTTACAAATGAACCTTCTTCAAATTGCTATTACCGTATATCAAGAGTATATTATCAAGGACATATTTACAGACGATGTAGACCATGTATGTATATTTGAAATCCTACTGTCAGTGAGTGTTTCTACCTGTGACATGGCAGGTTCCCTGCAATGCTACCAGAACGATATTACATGTACTTTCTTCATACCCGATGTTGTAGGAAGAGGTTAGCGCTCTCCTCAAGGGTGTAATGGACTTTCAACGCTCGACCGTCAGACGAGAACGTTGAATTCCTTATCACCGTGGAGGAGGTGCCAGCCGACTTGCCGGGTCGTTACGTAAATAACAGCTTGCCGGAACAATGGACAAAAGGCACTCTAGTGGTATCACTGAATGGAGTGAGTGATGTTCAACGCTTCTGTCAGCAATATTCCAGCAATATCGTCGAGTCTGGGTCAACAAAACCAGTATTTGATATTATGAGCTACGTTCAACGCTGTCGGGGATATATCACTGAGCCCAACCACCAATTTTGTCGCATCCTATGACAAATAAAGAATGTGCTTGGAAATAGTCTAACCCGTTGCCCCGAACTTTAATATCACTCAACTTTTAATCAATTTGTTTACATGGTATACGGAATATAATAAATATGTGTTGTAAGTAAACAGACAATCTCATTTGATTTGATTTCTAAACAAACTATTAAACAGAAAGATATGAAAGTTCAGGTTTTTCATCGCTGCCTGTTACTGGTCGTCTCTGGACCAGGCAAACCAGTGACTGAAGATGCAACGAGGCATGCCATTGGGGTAAGATGACATGTAAGCAGAGTTACAGCCAGATACAGAGTTACAGATCCATATTGTTGCATTAAGGTGGCTTCAGTTTTCGTTTATCAGAACACAGTTACCACCGTATTAAATCGTACCTCTATGACATCGTTTCACTGAAACTGTTGTTCGATAAGGTGATGTGACAGGAGGCGGTCCTGGAGGGGATCGTAGATAGATGTGGCATGTACCACTAGAATACTTGAAAGCGACACAAGCATTGTCCTCCACATCTCGCAGCTGGCAATCCCGCTTGCATTTTGACTGCGTGAAATTGGTCGTGATTTTGATGTATTTAGAGACATCTGCATCACGTTTCTTAAACCAGCATTTCACTGCAAAAGTAAATGAGAAGATTGCATGTATTGTATTGAAATGCCTGTGCCTACTATTTGAAGAAGAGTCCAAAAAATATTGAAGTGACAATTTTCATGAAACATAATAATTGCAAAACAAATGTTGACACCAAGGGTGGACAAGACAAACCAGTGTCTGGACGCATTAGAACGATCAACAAAATCGGGTCAATTGATACTCTGTCCCGACACAATTACTGTCCATCGTCAACCCCGCTGAGCACGAGCGCGGCCCCCGACCCAGTCACTATCCACAATCAACCTTGCTGAGCACGAGCACGGTCACAAATCGTCTAACCATACACTGTCAACCTTGCCGAGCGAATATCAACCTTCCTTCTACCAACCGTTTACCTTGCCAAGTAGTAGCGCGGACACGACACTACCTACTATCACCGTCAACCTTGCCAAGCACGGTCGCCGTCACCAACCTACCTACTATCCACTGTCAGCCTCGCCGAGCACGAGCACGGCCATAAAAGTACCTAGTATCCACCGTCAACACCACTTAGCACGAGCACGGCCACAAACGTACCTAGTATCCACCGTCAACCCCACTTAGCACGAGCGCGAACACCAATCTACCTACTATCTACCGTCAACATTGCCAAGCACGATCGCGGCCGCCAACTCATGAATATGCATCGTCAACCTTGCCGAGTACGAGCGCAGCTACCAACGTGCCGAGTATTCACCGTCAAGCTTATCAAGTTCGAGTGCGGCCATCAAACCACGTACTATCCATCGACTTTACCCATCACTGTTCCCAACTTACCTACTATCCACCGCCGTCAACCTTGCTCTGAGCGAGGGCGGGCATCGACCTACCTACAATCTACCGTCTACCTTAATCGCCAACCCACCTTCTACATAGCGCCAGATGTATCCACCACATGTACCCACATACATTTTTGAAAAACTAGTTCATGCTAGCTGGATTCCCTGTTACTTTCTATCACACATACCGTCTTGCTGACATACTGTGTGATACTGTACGCTGCATGAACTAGTCTTGAACGTCCCGGATGTTGACAGCCTCACACAGTGATCGGTATCCTTGTCATCAGGCTCTGACGATGACCACGGTCTGAAGGAACCGAGCGCCCTGCAGTCCTGCCACTGGTACTTTACCCCATCGTGGTCCCTTTGTTTCTTGTCATACAGACCCATCCACATGTCATAGTTTCTGCAATAGTATATATATAATCTGTAAAAACAAAAGTTAAGAACCATTCCTAAATTTTATACATTCCCAAGTCCGAGGTATCGGTTGGAAATATCAACCTGTGATATTGACCTCATTTTTATAAATTTCTAAGATAGCATCTATACTTCATGGGAAGTTGGGGTTCACGGGATTGTTGTTTAACGCCACACTCAGCAACATTCCAGCTATTTGACGGCGGTCTGTAAAAAATAGAGGCTGGACAAGATAATCAAATGATTGACGCATTGAGCATCTATCTACACAATTAGGGTACGATGACATGCATCATCCAAGCTAGCGGGTATATCACTTTGTAAAAATAATCAAATGTGTTTCGTCAGAAATTAAATACAGGATACGATCAATTTTGCTATTCTAAATGGAAATATCTAATACTTATTTTAAGGTGTATTTTAATCATTGACTTCTGGAAAGTTGAAAGGCTTTTCAAATCGCACGTGCACGAGTGCTGGCAAAACGTCTTTGTCTATAAAAACACAACTAACGAATGTTTACATAAATCAATGTACGGTTATGAATTCTGACTTACGCCAGTATCCGGAAGCAATAGAGTGTACAAAATATACTTACAATTTTCCATTTTTCATCCACCTTTGAACCAATTTTAAGAATTCAACACTATCTCTTCCCGATTCAATTTTCAACATGCTAAACCCGGAACTGCTGCAAGCATCTTGAACTTCATTCCACGATCGGATTCCGGGATACAGGATGTATATATGGCCATGAGAAGCAACACACAGTACGTCCCCTGGTTCAACATAGTACACTATGTAAATGAATGTTTACTATACATATTAACCACACAAAGCGAGACATATTAAATGTTACCGGGGTTATCTATTACCTTTGTAACGTAGCTGTAATATACACAAAAAGTCAAATTAACGAATCGTACTCTATTGAATCATAGAATGCACATAAATACAAATGTACTGGTGTTTAAGTGCCAATGAGCTCAATATGGACCACATGGGTTTACCGCTGATTGGGTTTAAACTGAAATTTGAAACAAATTGAACAAAATTAATTTCAAATTGTACCAGAAATTCTGTTTTTCGTCCACAAATACATTTTCCTTGTTATTTCAATTCCCCAGATGTACATGTACAATAGTTTACCCAAATACGCAATATAACGGCATCATGCCATCTGATCTATCTGGACATCTGGCTTGTTGACTATTTAATCTGTAAAGTTGAGTACATCTCATCGTCATCATTATTGTTAATCTTCAGTTATCGATGCATTTAAATGATAACGGATACTTTTGTCATGTTTTATCGTAAACAATAATGCCACATATCACAATAGTTGCTAATGTATAATTATTATTCAAATTGAAATGTTATTGTCTTGTAATGAACAGTACATACTAACTGTTTGATTGGCAGTCTAGAAGATGGTGAGTAAATACGAAAACATACAACTTTATGGATAACATCTTCCGATTTGTTGCATTTTGGAACCTTTCTATCCAGATTATTGCACCGCTATCAGTACATACACTGTAAATAGTGAACACATATTATGGTCAGTAACTCAGCAAATATATGACTTCGTTGAAAGATTTAAAATGTAAAATGTCACTGTACGGCTCTGTACTTCTCGCTGATCATAACAGCTTCACGACACGTTGTATTATTCGAGTGAGTGAGTGAGTTGGGTTTAACGCCGCTTTCAACAGTATTCGAGTTATATCACGGCGTGTCAGCTTAATGTGGGAGGAAAGCCCGAGGTTATGTATGTTTCAGACGTTTGCCACTTCGGTGAAACGCACGAGCACGGGTATAGTGCTGACAAACCTAGAAACATAAACGGGGCGAACCGGGATTCGAACCCACAATCATAGATTGCTGGCGTGCCTAAGGGACGCAACTCTGCACAGCGAATCGCTGCGCCTTGGACGACTGGGCCACTCGTGCCCACTGTATTATTCGAAATTGAACTCCCTACATGTACTTCTTCACTACTGATAATTATACAGTGTTGACAGTAAAGAAATGTTTGCTGATGGAAAACGCAAAAATTGTATGTTTATAATGATAAAAACTTAATGCAGTTATATCATGCATTTATTCGTGTTTACCGTACATTCATTGAAGTTTATCATGCAGTTTCTCATGTGCATCGTGCGCTGGCTTTTGGGAGAACAAAAACGTGGAACAGAGACGTACATGTAGGAACGTACAATGCACATTATGGGTTAGTAGTAAACGACTTTGGAAAAGTGTATCTTTGTCATGTTGACCCAATTGCTTTCAAACAATATTTGAATGCTAGTTATTGGAGATAATTTAAATAAGATAACATGTGGACCTATAAAACTGTACCTTCATATGCGAAAAACGCCATCAATACAAAACAGATCCTTGAAAACATCTTCCTGAAACAGAATTGCAAATAACATAAAGAAACACCATTATTGTATATACATCTCACAATAATTGTCACAATTATTGTCGTAACGGGTCTAAATGTAATGCAGTAGGGGCCAGGCATCTGGGGCGCCTACTCCGTTGAGCAAAGTAGCGTCCTTTAGACGTGTCTGGATCATTGTTGGAATCCCTGTTTCAACCAAATGTTCCCTGGCTGTACTGCATGAAACAGAATTCTACCATGACATTGAAGAATGTTTGATTCTGATTGGTTAAAAGATGTTTTCTTTTTTAAACGGAAGCCTCTTTTAAACATCTTAAGCCTTTTCACACAAAACACATGCGTATGAATAAATCAATAGCCTATGGTTGTCGTAGAGGTGACTCACGGGATCGAGTGGTCAGGCTCGCTAACTTGGTTGATGCATGTCAGCGATCCCAATTGTGTGGATTGATGCTCATGATATTAATCACTGGATTTTCTTGTCCAGACTCGACTATTTACAGACCGCCGTCATATAGGTGGACTATTGATGAGTGCGGCGTTAAACAACAACCCAACCCAACTAACACCAATAGCCTACATATTGATTAATATAAAATGGCTGTCGATAACTGTATACCATACTGATATTTCCTCTTTTAGACGCTCCAATGTGTGAAGCCCATTTCTGGTGTCCCCCGCCGTGATATTGCCGGAATATTGCTAAAAGCGGCGTAAAAACCATACTCACTCACTCACTCACTTTTAGACGCTCGGTCTCAAATACAAGCCAGGTCTCTAATACACGCTGGGTCTGGTGAAATTAATAGAGGTCCAAGTTTCTAACAGAGGAAGTACGGTACGCTTGAGTTAGAATGTTCTTGGCTACGATTTTGAAGTTCTATGCCTTCTTGTGATCGATATTTATTGCCATCACCGTCAACCACAAACGTTAGGATTTGGCAGGAGGGGATTTGAAAGTCCATCGGAAAACACTCCTCCCTTCAAAAGGCCACTCACAAATGTCCCTACATCACTGAAGTCACAGCACGGGCCCTTGATCATAACAGCTTGATGAAATTCATTTCAGGACACGCACAATTAAACAAAACATACCGGACCACTGCCAGGGCCACATTGTCCTTGATATCTTACACCCCTCGTGTCAAAATGAGGGTTGTGTGCAGCCTGAAAATGGCTGTTCAGTCATACTCTCTGCAGTTCCGTTGCCAACGACATTGGCTCATCTGCAGGCTCATTCCCATTAAATCTACCACATCATAGTTCGGTGTTGTCTTGCTTCGCGCAACTTGTCAGAGGCACGGAGAATGTAAACAACAATATTGGCAGCTAATTGTGGGTAATCGGGATGTAGGTAAAGGCCACATCCAAGTTCGGGGTAGAGAGGCATTTATTTTGATCTTAATATTATTTACTGGGGGTACTTGCTAACTAACTAACAAGACTTACACATGTAAAATATATAGTAGAATGTATTTCATAAAGTTCGTTTGAGAAATATTCTTTTGACTATTTCTACTACCTGTCATCCCTACAATGGGAAATGGCTTATTCCATTTCCAAGAAAAACTTCTTTTGTCAACTTCTTTTGTATAAACTATGTGTTTGGGACACTGATTCTGAACTAGTCAAGACTATTGGTATTTTTAATGTTGAGCTTTAGTAATAGTTGTTACATATGTAACTACCTGTGACCTCTTTCCGGAATGTTCTAAGATAGTAGAGCTTTGTCCAGTAGACACTGGACTTTTATAGTCAGCCAACTCCCTTGCCTCGGGCAGACGGACCTTTGTATTCTGTATAGTTACGCGTTGCAAGAGAGCACCGTTTTCAAAACTACCGTGTGCTAAAGCGCTCAGTTTTAAATTGAAAATATGAGGTCTCTTCTTTCAGTGGGACTACATCTAATTTCTAAACACAGTGGGTGTATCTCCTAATTTTTCTGATCCTTCTTTCACAGAAAAGAACTGTATATCTTAACGGAAGAAGTATTCTGTTACTGACAGCAATGCCACTGGCAACCGCAGCACTGCCTGTGATTCATGATTCACAGACAAACCAAAGATTCATGCTTATGAATTAGCCAATTCTGTTAAGGTGCGAGTCACACTTTGTTACAGTCTGTTGGTAATCATAGCCGACCATCTTGGACTCTACTCTGCCCCGAACCCCGAGGGAAGTGTCCAACAGAATACAAATCTGTACAATAGTCAAAGAGAATGAATCCCACAGAAAAATAATTACAGCAGGTATACATACTTACCTTTGTTTCTCGAGCTTCGTCTGCACAACTCTACCGTCACGATTACAACTGAGGAATTTCGAGAAACTGCAGCACCAGTTGATGGGTTTTTTTTATCAATATTTGACATCATGATTCTAAATTAAAGGCTGCCACGCTGTAGGCTGTCATATAATGCAACAGTCAATGACTTCAGCTATACTTTTGTTACCTTCAACACAATCTAACAACACCTCAAACATGAAGCCCAACCAAGTCCAGCAGTAATGAATGCCGATACAATACAACTCTTTGTGAATCATATGGTATCCCTCAGTAATCAGT